CGTCCCGAAACGATCGAGAGAAGGCCAAAGGTAGTCTAGCGGAACAGACTACTGCTACACGGTGTCCCTTTCTGTACTAAGAAGAAAAGTAACCCGTGAAACTTGGGCAAATCATTTCCTTCATTCGGCTACCCTTTCTGTAAAACTTGAATGTTGGTATGATTTTGACATTTTCTGCATGAGCAATTGTGACTCTTTTCTACATCGACCTACAGTAGGAAATAATTAGACAATTAGAGTTTTACTCGCATTGAAACTGACGTTATAAAGATTAGAAAGCAGTGAGAAAGAGAATGAAAGGCGATTAGCAGAAAGCAACGCATGTTGCGAAAATGACCGAACATGATACATTAAATCACTTGCCTTGAGAAAATTTACTGATGGATATCATGCACATAATATGTCCAATAGGTTACATGATGCTATGAAAAGAACCACGGATGCATCTGCATTTTCCAATTATAATCATCACATTATTGTAAAGCGCGAGTCATTAATATTAATATGCTTACTAGGTGAGGAAATTGCAGCTTTCATGTTGTAAACCTCTTCTCGAGATTTATTCAATGCAACTTGTGCATGGAACAAAGATTTGGCAACTTCATTGTCATTTGGGAGTTTATTTCTCAAAATCTCTTACAGCCTCAGCCCACTTTCAAGCTATAGCCAATAGAATGTATCGTTAAACAAGTTTGAAAACACATGAGAATATATCGTCATTTTCAACCCACATGTCACAATTACAAATCTAATATTTGTTTTCTTTATGATAACACATGCACAGATATTGTCATTTTTATAATCTTCCTTCAACAAATATTAACTAAGACAATTATATCACATGCGTTAGGATTGTTTCAATCCATATAATGATCTTTGCAATTTAATTGAGAATTGGTTCTTGGGCATGTATCATTTGCTTCTCACACTATAATTCATTAATGGACTTTCATATATATGTCACATTCAAGTGAACCATACAAATAGACAGTCATTACGTCTAGGGGTGTAAGCGGTCCGATTTTACCTATTTTTGACAAATTTTCAAATCAAACCGTTTAAACCGGTTTGAGAAAAATTCA